AAAAGTAAAAAAAGGTTCTGACAATCAGCTACGACAATCAGCTATGCAGCGAGATGGTCGGAACTTTTTTTTTTTTACTTTTTCAAGCATTTTTTTTACTACCTGTTGCCTGAACCGGTATTTTTGTGTAAAGTGTGATAGTTTGTTTTTAAGCTCTCTGTGACTCTGTGAGGTTCCTGCTTGTTGCAGGGGCCATTTTGTGTGAAGTCCAGCTGCTTTTCCATTGTGGGTGAGTCAGTTGTATAGCTTTTGTGTTATTTTTGGATACAGTGTAATAGTTGGTTTTCCCAGTCACATGACCACCAAGCCACACCCACCACAGTCACATGACCACCAAGCCATGCCTACCCAGTCACATGACCACCAAGCCATACCCACAGAACTGGTAGGGAAAATTTTTGAATTTCATCCAGTGGTGGGTTGCTACCGGTTTGCCCTGGATTGAGCGAACCGGTAGCAGTGGTAGCGGGAGGTTCCGCCCACCCGCTCGGATGCTTCTGCACATGTGCAAAAGAGTCACACACACGTGCAAGCGCGTGAGCACCCACGAGCACCCGGTAGCGACGGGTTTTGAAACATGCCCCAGATTTCACCACTAAAGTGCTACCTATATTTTCCTTAAAGGAAAGAATCAAAACATGATTAAGAAGTCTCTTAGCATTATGAGTAATTTCAGCCCAATATGCCACCGGGTTTAATCATGGTATAGAGAGAAGGTTAGAAGGAGGTGAGTTGTTGACATGATCTGGAAGTGAAGGTTGTTCTTCAGAGAGAGCTCAAGTTATGACCTTAGGGGATATCCTATTTTGGACATAGAATAAAATTATGCCTAACTCTGCAAGGGGTTAGTTCCAAGGGCTAAGCAAACTGCTCCTCCTTCAGAAGTCAAAGTCAGAAACAGGGAAGGGCAGATAAAACAGGGTAGATAAACCACCAGGCCAACATATTTCATTGCCTCAAATGAAACAGTATACGGCACCTTTCACTGTGGGCTCCAGTGCCTAAAAAATTGAAGTATGATCCTTCTTGGGAGAGAAATATACAATATTTTTTAAAAAATGGCCTAATAACTTCAGACTATCCAAAACAAAGGCTGCCTGGTGATCAGAAAGAGATAAAGGGAGCAGCCTTGCCTCTTTGAAGTTATAGTTTTGACCCATTTATGGTCAACATGTGACCAGAGGCCTTTCCTAGGATTCCCATCAGTGCTTGGCTCCTGATTCTCTCCCACTTTTACTTGCAGGGAGTTCTGTAAAAGAAGAAGAAAAGCAAACTCTCCTGCAGATTCTAATTGGCAAACAGCACTCCCAGCAATAGTAGCTATAGTTCATTCACCAAGATTAATCAATGTTTTACTTTTCTGACTCCCACTACTAAGAAATCTCCCCCCCCCAGCATAGCAATAGAATGATTCTGTGGAGCTAAGTAGTTCAAGATCATTTCAAGGTTGTGTCCTTACCACCACAATATATTGTCTCATTTTCTAAAAGTGTTGAAACAAACTCAGAGAGGGCTATTCCAAGCATTGCAATCGAATATATCACACAAGGATGAATCACATCTCTGTCTAAACATTTGCAGCTGGGTATGAAATCAAACTGGCAAAGCAGAGGAGTAATAACTGCAGTTGTATGAATTATTTCACCAACTTTACCAGTCTACCAGTATAGGATATTGTTTTTCAAACACATTGGCTGGGAAATTCTGGAAGTTGACATCCACAGAATCTCAAAGTTGCCAAGACAAAGCTGAAAAACACTGTTATAGGATTTAGGTTTAACTCATTCTGATTATTAGTAGAGCAGGGAACAATACAAATGAAAAGAGAAGATTTTGCCAAAAGGTGAATAATATAACAGCAAGGCCAATGGAAAATAAACTTAACTCCTATTTTTTTCTTATTAAAAATAAGCACATAAAAAACAAATTAAAGAGGACAGATTGAAGAAGTTACTAACACCAAAGTTGAATTCTCATCTATAAATAGGGGTGATTATATAATGAATAAGCCTGATCTGGTGACAGTAACCCAATCAACTCTGGACTATAGAGTGACACATCTGTCCATTCCTGGCACGTAATATACAATGGGAGACTGATAGATGCAGCTGTTTCTTACTCCTTCTAAATGGGTGACCATTTAAGTACTAAGCAATTGCGACCAAACATTTCCTATATTTTTTATTGCTTGTCAGTTAGAAAACTTTCTGGTTGTTTGATAAATGACATACTTATATCTACTAAGTTTTAATTATTCACTTACTGTATTTTTAACTTGCTTTTCAAACGACCGTCAATCAAATGACTTACATCAATTAAAAGAGGCCCTGCTCTGGTGTAAGCATAGGGGGAGGTAAAAATAAAAATGGTGGCCATGACACACATAAAATGGAAGAATGGCCTTGATATCATAGCTGTACCCATCACCTTTTAACCCTTTCCCCATGATACCTGCTTGGGTCTTAAGATCACAATAAAAAAAGGCAAAGTACAAAACATATGAAAAAAGGAAGAAAAGGAAGAGGAGCTGCATTGGCAAGAGTACTCCTCAAGTATCATCATAAAGTTTAAAAGAGTCAATTGTTTATGAAGTGATTGCACAAGTGAAACTTCTGGATTCATTGGGTTGAAATGTGGCTTACTCGATCTGTGCTAATTAAGGCCCTACTATACTGATCTCTAAATACTCTTTAAAGCAAGATATATAGAGCTTTCCCCAGATGCTTTATAAGAAATGTAGAACATTAAACCACTATCCAACAACTTCTCATACCACCACTTTTGACTCCTGAAGGTCAGTGTAGATGTGGGAATCGCCTTTAAAACCTCTCTATACAGTAAATATACTGGTGGTGCAGCAGACTAAAGCACTGTTATTAACATCAGCTGCCTGCAATTACTGCAAGTTCAAATCTCACCAGGCTCAAGGTTGACTCAGCCTTCCATCCTTTCTAAGGTAGGTAAAATGAGGACCCGGATTGTGGGGGCAATAAGGTGACTTTGTATAAATATACAAAAGTATGAAGGCTATTGCTTAACTCATTGTAAGCCGCCCTGAGTCTCTGGAGAAGGGCGGCATATAAATCAAATTAAAAAAAATTTTTTTAACTGTCCATGCCAGGTTTCTGACCACCTGGAGAATCATTAAATTGGACAGTGTATGGCTGCTAGATAACCTGCAATATTATTCCTGGCTCCCAACATCTCCAGTTTGTACCCAATTTGCTTTTCCTGAAACTCAATAGACTACTTGTTGCAGATAATGGCTAAGTGCTACAAATATACTCTCTCAGACCCACATATTCAGGTAAGGGTTTTATTTGTTTGTTTGATTGATAGCATAGTTCTTCCTGAAAATCAACTAAGAAATATTTTTCAAGCAACCCTGTCTTCTGCTATTTCTGGCATCCAGCTGATTTTTTAGTATTTAATGCATTTAGTATACTATTAATATATAAAAACAGCAAGGGATTTCTGGTGTTGGTCTGAGTAGCCTTTCTGCTCTATGAGAATTATGGTAGACTGTACATTGCTTGGATCTTCTTGGCATGCTGGCAGTGAAAAGCCCTTCTCGTTCTATTTCTGTTCCACTGTTCTTAAATTCCAAAAGCTAGTGCAGCAAAGATAGCTAGGAAATCGAAGAACTTTCCAGCTGCTCCTCAAACAAATGCCTTCTGATATAAATTCATGCTTCTTACAATTTAGTAGCACTGATAAAGGGTTATGTTGTGCCTCAGCTCTGATAGCCATCCAAGAACTGTTGAAAAATACCAGTGTAATGACAGATTGCAATATGCAGCTACAATAGAAAAGAACCTCAAGCAAAATATGGGGTGATCCAACAGCTAAATAAATAGAGGTCAATTTCAGCGTCAGCTAAAAAAATAATTTAATTTCTGGCGCTGGGAATAAAACTGAAATGTTTTTATTCCTTGAATTACTTTCTATAAATAAATTATATTCTATATATAAATTATATATATATATATAAATTATATTAAAATACCGTTCTTGATGTCTCCTTTAAAATGTTTACTGGAACATAGTATGGGCATAAAATATATGCTTGAATGTAAATTTAAAAAGAAAGATTGCTTTTGGTTTTCAAAAACTGTTGTATTCTTACATAAATTTATTCAGGCTTGATCAACCAACTAGTGGTCATATAATTCCCCAACTAAAATTAATGTAACAGGATACAGGCCTAATAAGCTCTCAATTATTAGTAGTCCTGCACTAACTCCTAGCTGTGTTATTTAGGAGTCTGACTAACATTCTGAAATATTTCTGAAATGCAAGATACTTTAGATGAAATAAAATTATGCATATATTTAAGGCATAAAACAGAACATAATGTAGTTTGCTTGGCATCTGGAAAACTGACTGCAGGTACTGTATATCATAGGTAAATAAAAGATGTTTCTTCTCTAAATACTGGGGACAAAATGGAATGCACCGTCTAATACACATCTATTTAGAAGTTAGCCCTATAATACTGAATTTAGCCAGATTTAACTTCTGAATAAATATGCAAAGCATGATTGCTAGTATCTTTAGCACATCAAACAACTTTGCTTAGTGAAGCCATATCATCCGTCAACTAATGCATGTGCTATTTGGAAAGTATGGGAGTGCAATCTCACAAACTACACAATAATATATATTTTAAATGCCCTATTTACATTAAAAGTAGATGTTATATTTATTGTTATGAATAAACAAAATGTGTTTGGAAACTTACTATAGAGATAGTATTATAATCAGAAAGACAGAATGATTTAACTTTCCTTAATGAGAAGTATTTAATGGTAGCCTGCATTTGCTGTCTTAACAATGTGACATCTCCCTCTGGTTCTTCATTTTCTATTTAGGTAAAAGCTAGTCTTTCTCAATAGTCCTATATTAATGCATTATGTACAAGAATAAGACACATTGAAGGCATTATATGTAAAACCAATAAATAACAATTAGAGCTTAAATGAAACCATTCTTGATAATACCTCATAAATCAACTGGAGTCATCCTCTTGCTTCCTGTAATGCTGATGGACCCATAATTCCATCATCCATGTTTGTAGAAGAGTATGCCAAGAATTTTTTTCTGCAGAGAATCAGACCAAGAGATCTCTATCTTTAAAGATTTCTCCTAGAAGCCTTAAGATTTATAATTGAGTTTTTTTAGGGTTTTTAACTAATACGAAAAACATTAATCATCATCTTCTTCTTCTTCTTCTTCTTCTTCTTCTTCTTCTTCTTCTTCTTCTTCTTCTTCTTCTTCTTCTTCTTCTTCTTCTTCTTCCTTCTTCTTCTCCTCCTCCTCCTTCCTCCTTCCTCCTCCTCCTCCTCCTCCTCCCCTTCCTTCCTTCCTTCCTTCCTTCCTTCCTTCCTTCCTTCCTTCCTTCCTTCCTTCCTTCCTTCCTTCCTTCCTTCTCTAAGATATCTGTGTTTGCTTAAATCATCATTTTCTATTGATTTGACTAAAATATATATATTCCTTTCTCTTAATCCATATAGAACTTTGCTCCTGGCAACAGTTCTTTACCCATTGTAAAGCTGCTTAATGTAAGTTTCAGCTTTTCCTGTCTCTCTCTTATTTATTCCAAAAAGGAATGCCTTGGAAAGGCCTGCATGATCTTTTTTGTACTAGATGCACTTCCCCGCCTCTTAGCTTGGCTTCCCACCTGTCTACGTCCTTTATGGACCATAGCCACATCCACACCTCCTGTCCACCTCAATCATTAGCAGTGACAGCAGCACAGAGAGCTGTTGAATTACACCTCTTCAGCTGTCCTATCTTTTGATTTTGTTTCATATAAGATATCATCTTGATATGCAAACATAAGATGCTTTTAGAAAGAAGTATTTTCCTTTGCTATATAATTCAGTAGGATAAGCAGTTTGATATTGATCACTTCCAGCAAAAATTCACTGAAAAAAGGGAATGAACTTATATGAGGAAAATCAGGCAAGAAAGTAACAGACAATTGGACATGGCAAAAAGCAGAACATGAGGAAGTCTATAAAATGAGAAGTTGGCACCCCTTCCCTCCCCACAAATGTAATGTATCTGTTTATAAATTGAATTAATGCAAGGAGCTTTAGGATATCCATTCAACCGTTTCTTCAGATCTGAGAATTTCCTTGAATGTTTATTGGGCAATTTCAGTACAGTTAAAATCTAGTCTTTTTTTTAACCTTATAATTTCATTTCAGGATTCAACTATACATCTGACAAGAATATATCATAATTGAACAAAATGACTTTTCAAACATATGTATAAATAAGCATTTCATTTATCAGGCATTTTAAAAAGTATATTCTTTTACAGTTTATTTTATTGACACTATCTGTATTTTACTCCTTTGTTTGTTTCTAAATTTTGTTAGATACCTTGAATATTTGTCACACTGCAAATGAGGGTGTAAATAAAAACAGGTAATACTGAATAACAATAATGATAGTAACAACAACAACAACAACAATATACATTGATGTAAAGAAAAACCTTATTTTTACACAAATGTAACAAAGAATTGGAGTTTCCGGAAATGTACTTAGTCAAATATAATGCATGTTGGCCAAATCTTGGTGTTAAATCAGCATTAAATTGTGACTTAATAGACTCAATGCTATTCTTTTTGCTACTACAATTTCCAGTTTCACAAACAAATGAATATTAAAGAAAATTAAATAAAATGAAAGAAATTTTCCAGAAAATGTATAAAACTGGAATCTACAATTTTTCCCAATTAGTTTGGTATATGTATTTGTATACATACATACATATTTCAATTTTTTAGCTCTATGTTTTAGGAGAGAACTGCTGACAGAAGTTTCTCATGCCAGAATACTTCTCCTAAAAAGAAATGTCTCTAAAGCAATATCTCTGTTGTAGCAAATATTGATGATACATTCTGCTTCATATAGCTCAGTTGTCTTGTGATATAAATTTTCCTCTTCCAAGAATCACTGCCTCAAGCCATCTTTCTTTCTTTGAAGAATGAGCAATCCAAAAATCAGTGCTGAACTACTTCATAAAAGCCACAGTCATCATTCTTCATAGCTGAAATTCTTTATTAAACAGGTGGGCTTCCAGTATGTCATAGGTCAGGACCAGAAAGTCAGAAGAAACAGATTTACAAGTAGACAAAAGAGGGAAAGGAGGTTAAACATACGAATCTACAAACAGAAAGGTTCAAATGTGAAGGGAAACATGTCTGCATAGAAAATGTATTTACAAATTCCATGTAGCACATTCTGATTGAGTTCACTCATTTTACTGAATTATTCCTTGTTTAAACATTATTTGGTTATTAAACCCAAATTGGTGCAGTTCACACAGTGTGCTAAGTGTGGGAAAATGGTAATGAAGAACCATTGAAAATAGATTTTGATGATCTATTGATATACAGGTACTCCTCGATCTATGACCACAATTGAGTCCAAAATTTCTGTTGCTAAGCAAGGTAGTTCTTAAATAAGTTTTGCCTCATTTTACTGTCTTTCTTACCTCAGTTGTTAAGTGAATCACTGCCATTCTAAGGTTAGTAACATGGTTTTAAAGTGAATCTGGCTTCTCCATTGACTTTGGTTGTCAGAAGGTCGAAAAAAATGATCACATGCTTGTGGGATACTGCAACCGTCATAAATACATTCCAGTTGCCAAGCATCTGAATTTTGATCACATGACCATGGGAATGCTGCAATGGTTGTAAGTGTGAAAAATGGTCATAAATAATTTTTTCTCAGTGCTGTTGTAACTTGGAACAGTCACTAAATGAAAGGTTGTAAGTCGAGGACTACCTCTATGATATACAGCAGGAAATACCTTTTCCTTTCTATTGATTTCTCTAAGCACAGAATTGGCCTTGATTATCATTAATTTTTTCCCTAATCAGGTTTCATGAAGTGATATACATTGATGAAAAGAAAAACCTTATTTTTACACAAATGTAACAAAGAATTGGAGTTTCTGGAAATTTACTTTTTTTTTTTTTAATTTGATTTATATGCCGCCCTTCTCCAGAGACTCAGGGCGGCTTACAATGTGCTAAGCAATAGCCTTCATCCTTTTGTATATTTATACAAAGTCAGCTTATTGCCCCCACAACTGGGTCCTCAATTTACCTACCTTAGAAAGGACGGACGGCTGAGTCAACCTTGAGCCTGGAGAGATTCGAACCTGCAGTAATTGCAGGCAGCTGGTCTTAATAACAGGGTGCTTTAGACCACTGTACTGCCAAGGCTACTTAGTCAAATATAATGCATGTTGGCCAAATCTTGACTTAATAGACTCAATGCTATTCTTTTTGCTACTACAATTTCCAGTTTCACAAACAAATGAATATTTCGTGGCGCAGCGGACTAAACTGCTGTTAAAGTAGTACTTAGCTGCCAGCTGCCTGCAATTACCGCGAGTTTAATTCTCACCAGGCTCAAGGTTGACTCAGCCTTCCATCCTTCCGAGGTAGGTAAAATGAGGACCCGGTTTGTGGGGGCAATAAGCTGACTTTGTATAAAATAGAACACTGCTGGGGAGGGGGGGGGGGGCAAAAAAGGCCTACTAAGCAGGTATATACAAAAGTATGAAGGCTATTGCTTAATGCATTGTAAGCCGCCCTGAGTCTCCGGAGAAGGGCGGCATATAAATCGAACTAATAAATAAATAAATAATAAATAAATAAATAGGAGACTGAAAATTCTATTACGCGAGTAATATATTTGCACTTTCTATAGTTAAGAAGCATTACTTGCTTAATTTCAAATTTACAGGTAGGATGAGAATCAAATATTTGATACCTAATTATATATGACTCTTTATAAAATACAGGAAAAAGTATTCAGTTAAAAACAAGGAATAATTCCCACAAAACATGGCTTTAATACAGAATTCATCTTCCTGAAAATCTGCTTTCATTTTATAAAAAAGCAAGTTAATAAATTTTGGATATACAACAAATGTGTAAGTCCAGAAGCCAATGAAAGAAGATCTGAAGTGAAAGAAGATAATTTTCCAGTTAGTTGTAGAAGGGCTTTCTCTGTATTCCAGCCTATACTTTGGAATATTCATAGAACATAGAATAATAGAGTTGGAAGGGACTCGGAAGTCTTCTTGTCCAACCCTCTGCTTGAGCAGGAGATCTATTTCAGACAAATGGCTGTCCAGTCTCTTTTTGGAAGCCTCCAGTGAGGAGCACCCACAACTTCTGAAGGCAAGCTATTCCACTGGTTGATTGTTCTCACCATTAGGAAATTTCTCCTTAGTTTTAGGTTGCTTTTCTCCTTGATTAGTTTCCATCCATTGTGCACCATTAGCTTTTATTTAAAACATTTATAAATTTATTTACAAATAAAACATTTCAACCAACTCTTTGGTTAGTTACCAACCATTGTTTGTTGTCTTGCCTTTTCATGCTTTGGAAAATAATTTGACCCTCTTGTCTTTGTAGGAGCCCCTCAAATTTTGGAACACTGCTATCATGTCTACCCTAGTTCTTCTTTTCATTAGAATTGACATACCCAAGTCCTATAACCGTTCTTCTTATGTTTTAGCCTCCAGCCCCCTAATCATTCTTGCTGCTCTTTTTCTGCACTCTCTAGACTAGAGGATCTTCCTTAAATTGTGGATACCAGAACTCAGAGGTGGGATTCACTTACCTTCCCTACCGGTTTGCAAATGTGAGCGCGTGTGCGCATTCTGCACATGCACAGCCTTCTGCGCATGCCCAGTAATCGTGCATTTCATCCGGGCAAGTGGCGGAGCCTCCCGCAGTCACCACTACTGGTTCACGCAATCCAGAGAGAACCGGCTGAATCCCACCACTGCCAGAACTGGATGCAGTGTTTCAAGTGTGGCCTTACTAAGGCTTTGTAAAGCGGCACTAGAACTTCATGTAATCTTAATTCTATCCTTCTATTAATGCAGCCTAGGATTGCATTGGCTTTTTTGTCTGCTGCTATTCACTGTTGGCTCATATTTAAGTGACTATCTACTAGGACTCTAAGATCCTTCTCATGGTTACTGGCATTAAGCCACGTTTCACCTAGCCTGTACCAATACAGTTGGTTTTTCTTGCCTAAGTGTAAATCCTTACTTTTATCTACTTTGAATTTCATTTTGTTAGATAGGCCCAGTTTTCAAGTCTGTCAATATCTTTTTGGATCTTGAGCTTGTCTTCTGGGGTGTTGGCTATTCCTGCCATCTTAGTGTTATCTGCAAATTTGATGAGTTCCCCTTCTATTCCCTCATCTAAATCATT